GCTCCAAAACGCTGACCCAAAGGGCACCAGCACTGGCACGTTTCTGTTTGTGTGCTTCTTTAAAGTCCTGCTCTATTCCATACCCCCAGGATGTGAGACTCCCAGCTAGAGAAAGCAGAGAAACCCCTGGAACTTCAGACCTACGACTAAAACCTCCAGCCTCACCTCCTCTGCTGGCCCGTTCCCCAGGGCTCTTTGCCATGAGCTCTTTGCTAGCACCAGAACGAAACCTCCTGTGCTGGTGCTGCCCTTGTGCCTGGACTCTTTCCCTTGAACTTTCCACCCCTATTACCCGCGGGTTGGTCTCAGCAGCAGGGATGAGACCCACGGCTGGGCTCTGCTCGAGCGGAGCAACGCGACGGTGCCAGGATGGGGTCCGTGGCTCTGCTCTCCATCTGGCAGCACCTCTAACAGCAGTAATTTGCTCTCTCACAGGCTTATTTTTAGCCAGGAAGAATCTGAGGCTTTTGCGAATGTTTAAACACATGTCTCTCTTGAATTATTCAGTGTGCTCTGCCTGCTTCTGGAGTTAATTAAAATGGAGGGCAATCGATAGCGAGCTCTCTGGCTCGCCGTGGGGAGACGGCGGCAAGGAGCAGCTGTGGGACCGCTGAAAACCTCCGGTCCTCTCCATCCCTCCCAGGCCACCAGGCTGCCACTGCTCTGCTCCCTTGGCCGTGCTGGCCAGCAGCTGCAGAGTACCGAATCTTACTGAGTTTGCCTTAATTTAAGGAGAATGATTTGTGCGCCGCACCAGGGATGGACGTGTCCCGAGCCACGCAAACCAAGGGCTTGGTGGCTGCTCCAGAAGCAAAACCCAAATCCCACAACATGGTCCATGTGAGATGAGCACGTGTCTGCCAACCGATGCACAGCGAGCACTGGAGCACAGCCCAGAGGATTTGCCAGGTGGCTGAGATGTCTTCCTTCTTCTCGGTGGCTCCTCGTGGCCTTTGGCTTTACAGCCAAGTGCTTTCACCTGGAACGAGAAGGAATTATCTGCCTACCACCTTCTGCAAGAGGTGAGGGGCCACAGAGGGGCTATTTTAGCTCAAAAGCTGGAACTTAGGGTGCCAACACATATCTGCTCAAGGGGTTTAGGCAGAAAGAGCCCCCCCATGCCCACCTCCTGCTCGCAGCCAGCAGCTGCACCTCTTTGTTCCCTGTTTTTTGCTACAGCTGAATATGTTTTTTCTCAGTGTCAGATGAACATTCCTGTGTATCTTTAAGACAAAGACTAAGTGCAGCCCTCATCCTCTTGAAGTCAACGAGGAATCTGGGATTGGGACCAGAGTTTCACCTGTCATCTGAAGAAAAGCACAAGGTTTGGTCCCAGAAAAGGTAATATTAGCACAATATAAAAGCGTGACCTTCTGTAAGAGGATACTCATCCACACATACCTCCGTGCCTCTCCTGCTGCTGTGAAATGTTACGGAGAGCAAACTACATACCGAGTCAAACCATGCTGAATTTATCACCTGCCTGAACACGGCCACGAGAGCAGTGGTTTTGGTATTGTGCCACAACACCCAGTTCCAGGTAAGCAGTTCTGTCCCCAGCCTGACATCGATTAACGTCAGTGTCCCTTTGTGAATCAAGCTACTGACAAAAGTCTAGGGTTTGCACGCTATCCGAGGCAGGAGGAACCATCAGCAGTGGACAGAGATACCTTTATCAGTTCCTATCAGAGGTGGAGGTAGATAAGGGGATGCTGGGGCGCTGTGCTGCCAGCTCTCAGCCCCCAAATGCTCAGCGGTGCCCAAAGCCCCCTCCAGCCCCGCGTGCTTTGTGCACAACCAATGTGAGATGCAGGCAGAAATATTTCATGCAGAAGGGAAAAACAATCACGTCCTTTGTTCAGGCAGCACACTTGGGGACCGCTTTTCCTTTTTGTAGGAGGAACATGTTGTTGCCATCCCTGTTACTGCGGCGTGGAGAGGGACCCCCCTCACCTGGCAGCAGGAGCGGGGAGACAACCACAGCACTCTGCTGGGAGCAGCTGGAGAAGGAGGCAGCTCAAACACATCCATCTGCTTTTATGCTGGAAGGTGAAAATATCGCCGCAATGGAGCTGAGCACGCTTGCCACGAGTCCGTGCTGAATTCCCTTTATGCTCGTGAAATTTTGCAGGCAGCGTGAAATGGTTTTGGAGCTGGTATGCTAAGATAGGCTTCTGAGCTACTAACATTTCTGATCACTCCACGAGGCTTCACCAGAGTCTCCATCAGCTTGGTATTTCTGTTTGTTTGATTTTTTCACTCTAATTTGCCCAACATTTCTCGGCTCACATTCAGGCATTGCTTAACCTGACCTAAAAACAAGTTTGTCATCGTTGCATTCCAGGGCAACTAGTACTTGCACTTATCAAGACGTTGCAGTTAGGGTTCTTGATTTATAGAAATGTTTAATCAAGAAGGCCTGGACTAAAGTTCAAGTGGAGTGCTTTGTGCTAGCCAGAGACAATTTGAATGAACAGTAATTAAAACAGTGCCTGATTCATATGGGGCACTGCTGGACTTTGGAACGACAACTGCATGCTTGGAGCTCTGTTGGGATGGATTCCTTTTCCTTTTAGCACAACCACAGCCAGGGCTGCTGGTGCCGATGCTTTCTGCTGTACGGTAAGAGAAGTCACATTAAAAAATAAAATAAAAAAGGGGGAAAGGCACAGCCTTCACCTGGTTCCAAGGTTCAGTGCTAGCAGACAAAGGATGTCTTTGATCCCGCTGTTGTCAGAGGCAGATAACTGCTGGCCGGCTCTCTTGGAGCAATAATTTCTACCCTAAAAGGATGCTTTGTGGATGGGAGCCAGGAGCCGAGACGAGCTCTGGTCTGCAGCCTCGCGGCCCCGAGGAGATGCAGCAGGAGCGGAGCTGCTGTGCTTCGGCGAAACGTGGGTGGGAGAGAGACAGCCTCCAGATGGGAAAAGGGACTTTCCTGCTGCAAAAGCCTGAGAACCGCTGGGGCAGAACACATCCATCCAGAAGGACGGCTGAGAAATGTCACGAGAAAATCGCCTTGCCTTGGCATCAAAGCTACGCGTTGCAGAAAGTTTTATCAGGGAGCGGCCGGCCCTCCGAGAGCTTGTTTTTGAGAAGCAAAGCGCTGTGATACATCGCTGTACGCACGCTGTTTACATCTTGCTTTAACACAGCTCGTGGGAGGAAGTGTTCCACTGCCAAAAAAGACTTGATAGCTGCATTGTTCGCGTGTAGCAATATTTAGACATAGCAAACCCACAAGTATTTATAATAAGTCTGTCCGATTGTGATATCAGTCGGAAGCTACAGGAAAAGAGATGGACGCAGTGTCCACTGAGCGAGAGAGGAGATAAGGGCTCCCGTTAAATCTGATCGGAGAGGTGTTGTTCTGAGGCACAGACAGCGTTTTCAGTTCCTGTCCCATGCCAGAGCTCGACGCTGTGCTTGTTGTAACAGGAAATGAGAATCGCAATCAGGAGCCCGGAGGCACATGGCATTTCAGCTGGCAGCTTCGCTCTGGCTTTCACCAGTACCCGGTGTGGGAGTTATGGGGTCTCCCTGAGCGGCCTGACTCAGTTATCCACCCTTAAATCTGTCTCAGGGCTAGGCAGGTAAGGAACCTTACTCCTTGTACCCACTCCACAGCAAAACTTGCATCTGCCTCCAAGCAGTTATCCTGCTTCCCATGGGGAAAAGAGACCTGCCCATGCCCACCTGCAAGCCCACAAACGTTCCCCCAGCCCCTCTTGTCTCTCCTTGTGGGACTTTGTGTGCAGGCTGCCAGCAAACCCCGAGCAGGGCACAGCCGGGAAGGGGCAGCGCAGGCGTCTCGCTGCCGTACCCCCACAGACAGCCCGCTGCCAGGTGACCCCCTCTGCCTTCGGGTGCTCCTGCCCCAGCCAAGGGGTCCCCTCGGGCTTCGGAAAGAGGCAGAAAGGAAGTGGAGGGTTGACTGCTTAGATTTTAATCTATCTAGAACTTTAACTCTTGTTAGCAGGATGTCTTTTTTATCATCTGCACAGTTTCTAGTACAACAGAGCCCTCCTCCAGACTCAGACTCGAGCCGCTGTCACGACACCAGTAATAATTTCCCCCCGCGTAAATGACGCACGCTGGCAAAACGTTCCATCGCAGCACAGCCCCGAGCCTGGCAGGGCTCGCAGGCACAGCCAGCAGCACGCTCGGGCAAACACCTTCCAGCAAAGATGATCAGAATAAAAAACAGCACAAAGCGTGTAATTGCCACGCTGGCTGAGCTAATCCTCTTCCACAAGCAGCGCAGGGCAGGGCCCCGATGGTTATGAACCACCCCGTGCAGAATTAAGAGCCTTCTAAGTGCTGCGGGGTTAACACCACAGGTAACGTCGGTATCAAGAATAAATCGTGACCTCTGCAGGCTGAGGTCCCTGCTGGGCTCACACCAAACCCCACAGGGCTGCTCGCTGCCCACCACTCACGACCCCGGTGTGCAAAAACACCTCGGCCGCCGAGCCCCGCTGCTGTGCCACCCACCCAGAGATGTGAGCTTCACCACGTGGGAGCCCCGAAAACCTTTTCTAGGTGTTTTGATGGAATTGTGACAGAAGTTACCCATCTTGTTGGCCAAGGCAGAAAAGCCCCAGCCCCAAGCGAGCACCAGATGCCCCACCGTGGCTGCACCACCTCCCCGCAGTGCCTGCTGCAAGCAGCTGCCATCGCTCTGATGTGAGATGGGCAGCGTCCCTCTGCCCACTCCCACGTAACAGAGCGAGTGGGGACTGGCTAAAATCATTAATAATCATTAAAATATTTAACAAGAAATATAGCAAATATGTATCTACAATGGGGGGCTGTATAGCTGCAGTCTTCCCCTTTCTTCTGGTACCCAGTCCCACCCACTGGCCCACATCTCCTCACCTCTTCCCCCAAATGCTCCCCCAGCTGCACAGGACCCCACTTTTGGGACCCTTATTGAAGCTTCTCCAGCACAGGCATTTCTGGAAGGTCTTCTACATCAAACAGACAACTAAGAGGCAAACTCCCAGTAAAGCACAATTTTTATTCAAGTCTATCTCAAGTTTCCTTAAACCATGACTTTTACACAAAGAGGTTTGTTTAGAACGGGGACACTTGAGTAGGATGTTGTGTGTACATCTGTCCGTCCGTCAGCTCCTGGAATCAAAGGGATGGGGCGCGGCGGGCACGGGCCCCGTGAAGCTCAGATGGCTGCCATCCTTCAGTTATCACAGTACTGTACCTTTACAAGAGACAGCATCAGCACTGTGATAACTGAGCCAGGGCAGCCTGTCAGTCATCGCGGCCCCTCCACGGCACTGCCAGGTGCTTCCTCTGTCTTCTCATCCTTTGCACGCCTCCGAGCCCCAAACTGCCCTCTGCGGGTGCCCAGCTGCCAGGTGAGAGGCTCAGAGTATTTAACACAAGTGGCTTTGCATGTGGGGATCCAGCTCAGAAAATTATCCAGATAATTAGTGCTACCTTAATGACCACAGTGACCAAAACAGCCTTCAAAATCCAATTCACTAATGCTGGATTTAACGGAGAAGGGTTAACTTACCGCTCAATGCTGGAGAAAATGAGGGTACCCTTTCTCCCCCTTAAACTCGCTGGAGCTGCAGAGCAGCGCTTGGTTTATGCTACTCAAGAACCGAGTGTCATGAACCAGACAGCCAGCAGGCAGCCGTGGCTGCGAGCCAGGTAAGTCGGCGGAGCTGCACCGCGTGCGACAGCCGAAGGCTGGGATCACGACCGGCACGAGTAGAGGGCAGCACCACACCGCGACCGTGCTGCATACTGCACCCAGCGCGCCGGGCGCTCGCCCAGGCAGCCGTGGAATTTTACAGCGCCGTGAACACGTTCAGCTGGGCTTCATCAGGGCTTGTCACATGCGCTGCGAGAGCTGCGATCGCTCCTGTGCCTACCGAGGGCTCCGACGGGAGCAGCGCCGGGCGCCGAGCAGCCAGCTGTGCTCTCGAGGGACAGCAGCTGGAAGAGGCCGAAGGGGTGCCTCGAGGCTCTGCAGGCTCAAGTGTGCCACTGGAACTTTTAGGTCACAGGATCCAAACACAGAATTGTGAAATAAAAACTTCTACCGCAAGTCAAACTTGTATCAACCAGTAGTTTGTACCCCACTTTTTTTAAAAAAGGTATTGCTGAAAAGATCATGGAACTACTTCTACACGCGTACACCTCTGGTTAAGGGAATCATGTTAACTTCTGAAATAAGTTTAAAAAATAACACTTTTCTTTTTAACCCAAAGTTACCATGTTTTTATAAAAAGTTAATTTACGATGCTGATGGACTTCCTCAGTACAAGCTGCTCTCGTATCTCTAACAGGAGGGAGCAGAAACTCCAGATGTGGTTTACTGCTCTAAAAAACTTACCTGGAGAAGAGCATGTCTGGAGATGTTCAGAGGTTGTTTTTAAAAGAGAAAGGCGTAACGCTGAGAGGGATCCAGCTACCAAAATGGTGCCTTACAAGTTTTTAACAGAAGAGGGCAATGGAGAGACAAGTATGAAATATCTGAGGAGAAGCACGCAGTGGAAAAAAATATTTGTACATTTTCAAACAAACTGCAAACATACATTACATAAAAAGGGGACAGTCAACAGATTATGCAATACTGACGTCAGATGATGACACAGATGACCTAAACGTATACCCTAAAACTTGCAGGTTTGCCACCGATTGTAATTAGTTACATCATCTGCTGCTGCAAGAAAAAAAAACAAAACACCAAAAAACTTTGTAAAAAATGCTTAAGAAAATCTGTACGTACAGCTGTGACTTTTGGAAAGGAAGGGAAGTGCCCCAAAAATGAATTATTTACTGCCACTCTGAAGCCTTTTCACGCCACATTATTCCAGTAGAAAAAAAAATCTACTGATTTCAACAGAATGGAAGAGGAGTGGCATGGGGAATCCCACATTTTGGAGGCTGAGGTGGGAAGAGAAGAGGTGCCGCTTGGTAGTTCAGGTGTGTCTTCATCTGAAGATTTTATCCGTGCTCCAGCAGCTACTCGTGGGCTGTTTAAAGCAGATCCAGCAGCTACTCGTGGGCTGTTTCAAGCAGCTCCGTGACCACAGAGGTGCGCGGTCCCACCCAACTCCCTCTTCTGCTGGGCACCCGCTCGCGGCCAGTGCCATTTCCCCCGGGGGATCCCCCAAACCTGCTGCCTCTCCTCTCACGCCGATTTTCGCCTCGCTCCAGCCGCGCCACGATGCGGAAAGCAAACAGGTGTGCGAAAACGCAGAACTTGGCTCCTCGTCACCGTCTGGAGAGCCCTCCCTGCTTTTTAAACAAAACATTTAGCCGGCTGGGGACCCAGCACACCGCCCCGTGCCCTGGGTATCTCTGTAGGATTATTTAACAATATCTGGTTGTTGGTGGAGGCTGCCACCCCTTGCTTCTTTCTGAAGCCCCCCGGCGTGGCCTGGCTGCTCCCGAAGCTCTGCTCCCCCTCTCCAGCCCCTGGGGGCCGGCTGCTGGCCGTGTTTTGGGGCTGTTTTATAGGATTCCTGTCCCCTCCGCGTGCCCCTCACCGCCCCCAACCCACCCTGGCCGGGCACCAGCACCCAGCACCGAGCACTCCTCCCTCAGCAGCACCCCGGGGGGGGGCTCACGGTAACCCCACAGCCCCCAGCGCCTCTCCCCTTCCCTCCTCCGCCACAGCCTCACACGAAGCCCCCCATGGGGCCCCCAAAGCGCCCCGCAGCCCCCCGCCCGCTCCCCCAATCCCCCAAAACAGCAGTGCGCAACGGGGAAGAAGGGGGGGGGGGGGGGAGGAAGCACCGCGCCCGGCCAGCTCTACCGAAACCGGGTGTGGGGGGGTCTCGGAGGAAGGGGATCCCCGCTGGAAGCCCCCCCAAACCCAGCGCGGTGCCCCCCTGAGGGCCGGGCCGGGCCGGACCCACCTGAGGGCTGGCGGCGGGGCCGGGGGGCGCCGTGACGCAGCACGGGCGGGCGGGCGGCGTGAGGGCCGCCATCTTGGCGTGTTTATGGCAGCGCCGCGCGGCCATGTGATGCGCCCGCCGCTTCCTGAGGCGGGGGTTGGGGGGGGGGGGGCACACGCCTATCGTGCACGCGCATATCGTGCACACGCATGTCGTGCACAAGCATATCGTGCACGCGCATATGTTTCACGCACATATATTTCACGCACATATGGTTCAAGTACATATAATTCACGCGCGGGTGTCCCCTCACAGCCCCCCCCCCCATCACCACCTCACACCACACACACCGAGGGGGCGCCCCGCGGTGCTCTCCCCGTTGCCCCCGGTGCTCCCCCCGTTGTCACCACAGCTCCATGAGGCGGCACCGAGCCCAGCCCTGCCCCATCTATAAGGAGGGGGGGGTTACAGGACTACAAGTCCCAGGGTGCCCAGCCCGAGGGGGCGGCCCGAGGGGGCGGCCGTGCCCCCCCCCCTCCTTGCTCCGTGCTGATGTGTACGGGCGGCGAGTGAGCAGCTCGGCACGGCTCGCCTCGCCTCGGCTCCCTCCCCCCCCTCATTAACACGCCATTTTGCGGGGCTCCCCGGCATGCGGGGTCCCGTGGTGGGGGGCGGCGAGGCGGCGGGGCCCCCCCTGCGTGCCCCCTTCGCAGCTCCGCATCCCCCCTCGGGGGAGGCTGCGTGAGGCGAGAGATTTTTTGGGGGGAGGGGGTGCTGGGGGGGGGGGGCTGCCCCGCAGGGAGATGGCCTCCAAGGTGCTTCGGGCTGTGGTGCTGGGCCCCCCCGGCTCGGGCAAGGGGACGGTGTGCGAGAGGATCGCCCGCAGCTTCGGGCTGCAGCACCTCTCCAGCGGGCAGTTCCTGAGGGAGAGCCTCGGCCGGGGCGGCGGTGAGTGCCCGGGGTGCCCCCCGGGGCTGGGGGCGGTGTGGGGATGGGGTCGGGGTCGCCCACGGCTGGGGGCGAAACCCTAAGGGGAAATCTTCCCCCCCCACACTGTGGGGATGAGGTGGTCTTCCCTCCATCTTGGGTGCGCTGGGGAGAAGCGGGCTGAGGGTTGCCCCCAGCCCCAGGTGGGCACAGCCAAAAAAAGCTGCACGAGCACCCACGGGCAGCCTTGGCACCTGGGGCTTTCTGTGTCAACACAAGGGTTTTGGAGGAATGGGGTTCAATCACACAGCCTGGGTCCCCCTGTGCCTGCTGTGACACCTGCGGGGCGAGGGATGCTCTGGGCACGTACAAGTTTCCACAGGGAAACCCCTCTGGGAAGCTTGCTGTGGGTTATGGGGTGTCCCAACACCATGCCATGCTGTGGTGAGGCCAGTGGGGTGGCACGGGGCACCCCATGAGCCCCACTCCTTAATAAGCTGCCCTCCAGAATCAGGGGGCACAGCGCTGCCAACCCACCCCGTGTTTCACATCCGAAGCCCTTTTTTATGAGCTGCTGGGTTGTGATGTGCTTCACAACCATCCCGGCCCGTGATGGATCCGGCAAAGTTTTGGGAGCCAGCAGCCGGGCGGCGCGGGGCTGTCCCCAGCCATGGCTGGGCAATGCCAGCCCTGCTGCTGCTGATCGCCGGGGAGGAAACTGACTCAGAGGAGCCATAAAACGACACAAAACAGCCAAGAAGAACGAGCTGCGCTTTGCCTTTTTCGAGGTGTGACGAGAAAGGGAAAAAAAAAAAAAAAAAAAAAGGGAGGATAAACTTTCAGAGCTGCGTGCTCCGTGGGGCGTTGCAGGCTTGTTTAAAAATACCCAGATTTCCTTCCATAAATAAATATAAAAAAAAGCACGGCAATATTTCCTCTGGGGAGAGGCTCAAAATTTGGAAAATCCCAATAGCTCTGTTGGCGGAGCCGCAGAGCACCTGGGCGAAGACCAAGCGGTGCAGCAGCGGGTGGGGAACGGGGATGGAAACTCAGGTGAGGCTGCTCGGGAGCAAAGCCGCTGTAATTTTCAGGTGCCACCTTTGCCTTTGCCTCTGGTCATAGCTCTCAGTAATGTGCAGCTGTTTGCTTTTTTATTTTTTTTCTTCCTTTTTTTTTTTTTTTTTGCTATTTGCTTTGGACAAGCTGTTACATGACCACGCAGCGGTGTGCCAGCTCTGGAGGAAGCTGGATGGAAGTAAATTCCCTTCCTGAGTTTGTCATCCGCGCCGCTGGTTTTGCATTGTAGGGGAGCTGAGGCCAGTCTCACAGACACCCCGCTGCCCTCCAGAGGGACCTGCCAAGGGGTTTTAGAGCAGCCTCTGGGCAAGGAAATTACAGGAGTCGATTTGGAGGTGATTTTCCCATCTCAGGAAGCCAGAGGACACCCGAGCATCCCGCACAGAGCGAGCCCCAGGGCTCCACGTGTTGCGGGGTGGCTGGGTGTGCCGCTGCCACTGGAACCCTTGGGGTTTTGTAACAGTGACTCGGCGAGTGCGTCCGCTGCCACGGATGTGTTGGTTAATCAGTGCCTCGCTTCGTGGCTGCCCTGTTGTGCAAAAGTGCTTTGTTTGGATCTCGGGAGAGCAGGAGGTAAAGAAACTGCTTTTGGTGCTGTGCCGGGGGTACTGGAGGGCAGTGACCGTTTTCCTCGGCCGGTTCTTGTCCCAGTGCCCAGCTCTTTGCCTCTGGTGCCTGCAGCGTCCCGGGGTGTCAGCAGGGCTCAGCTAATTCCAGTAAAACTGCACGCCCTGGGTCTCTGCTCTCTGCAACACTTCGGGGGCGGAAGGGTGCTGTGATGATGGGAACCGTGAGCTAAAAGGGGTGAGAGGGGGGGCAGTGACATCCCCAGGTTTGTGGCCGTGCCATGTTCCAGCTCCCCGGAGGGAGGCCAGGCTGGCAGAGACAGGCTGAGAGTGAGAGCCCTGGTTTGGGGAAGTGGTTTGGGGGCTCCGAGAACCCCGTCCAGCTGGGGTTGTTCCAGCTTGGTGCACAGATAACCACGGGCAGTGCAGCATTAACCACCCAGAGCTCCTCCTCTCCATTAAGGCTGCGCTGCTGGAACCTAAATAAGAAATCATGCAAAAGGTTGCCCCGGGGGGCCCAAAGTCCGTGTTATCTCGCAGGGTCTGCCCAGGGGGCTGCTGGCAAACGAAGCCCTGGTGCTCTGCGGTGCCTCTAGCCACAGCCTCCTGCTCCCCGTGTTTGGGAACAGCCTCTCCTTGAGCCCCCGCAGCCCCCAGCCGCAGCGGGAGGCGTCGCTGGAGGCTGGGACCCGCTTTGCTGATAAGAGCCCAGAGGCACGGGTGCAGGGTTGAGTCGGGAAGGGACAGGGACAGCAGGGGCTGAAGTCCTGCGGTCGTTAGCTTAGCGGGACGGGGCGATAGCAGCGTGGATTTTGGCCCCTGGGTGGGATCTGCGCCAGGCCAGGCGGGTGAAAACCCCTGCCCATCACACCAGGACCTGCAGGGGGATGCCGTGCCCGGGCTGAGGAAGATTTGTCAGTGAAGAAGAGTAAAGTTTTCACATTAATATTTCTGCCCTAGGAGGTCTCGGTGCTGGTTGCACAAGACACGATGTTCTCTCCCCATCGCCGTATGGGCAGCAGCATCAAGCTCATTTTTGGGAAAGGCACCGGGTGCGGAGCTGCTCGGTGGCGTTGGTTGCTGTAATTTTGGGGTGGAGGTGAGGGGCTCTCCCCAGGAGCTGTAGGTCCTGCACAAAGCCTGCTGCCTGTCGGGAATGACGCCGTTTGATGTGTTTCAGGCTGGAAAAGCAGAGCCTGGAGAGCCCCTTCTCCTTCAGGCAGCTCGCCGTGCTCCAAAGTCCCCAGTAATGAATACTGGGACCAGTATGGGGCCAAGCTCGGGCAGAGGCGGTGCTGCAGAGGTTGGTGGAGAGAGAGGAGGGAGAGATCGGTAATGGGCAACCCCACTCAGGTTGGGATTTGGGGGGCTTTGCCCCTCCTGCACCTCCCTCTGTGTGCAGCCATCGGTGCAAAACCCCAGCAGCCAGCCTCAGGTGGAGGACTGGTGCTTTGGGACATGCTGGCCTCACTCAATAATGTGCCAAAATGTTAATTTCTGCTTCCAAACGCTGTGTTAGCTGCTTGGGGAAGGGGAGCTGGTCTGGTCCTGGTGCAGACAAAAGGGGCAAAGCCTCTCCAGGGGCAGGATTTGCCCCAGCTGGTGCCAGGGAGTAGTTCTATTTCCACATAGTTTCTTTGTGTCTCCGAGTGCCTAAAATTGTGGGCAATCTGTAATGTAAGACCCAGCCGAATTTGTCTCAGGCCCCTTTTCTCACCATCTGGGGGCAGGCAGAAACCGCAGCGTTCCTCCTCACTGCTCAAAGTACCCAAGCTGCAATAAAAATGGGAAAAAGAAGTGGAAGCAGGGCTGCTGCTGGCTGCCCAGGTGGCCGAGGCTGCAGGGAAAGTGGGTCCTGGCCAGGTTTATCCCTCAGGGAACCCTCACTACCCCGAGGGGCTCCTCCTGAAGCACTTTCTCAGCTCCAGCTGATGCGGGGGAGAATCAAGCAGGAGCCTGCTCAGGTGTATTCGCCCTGCAGGTAAGCTGCAATTATATTCTCAGGTGTTTGATCTGGGAAATAGCTCTCTTATCTGCGTGTATTTTGAGCTGAGCCTCTGAAGTCGTAAAGCCCGGTGGATGGAAAGCCGTGTTCTGCCTTCAGCAGAGCTCTGAGGTTGTGTTTTCAAATGAGCTCTCTGATGTTGCCTGTTTACTGCCGCAGTCTGCGTGTGAAATCTTGAATTTGCACCTCTTGGGGTAATTTCTAGAAGGTGGTGCCAGCTTCTCACGGCGATGGCTGTATGTGGAAGCAGGAGGAGGCAAACTTGGTTTCTCCGAGCCAGGTGCTGCCAGTTGTCCAGGCGTTACCCAAACCCATCATTTCTCGTCTTAACTTCACTGGAAACTTCTCCAAAGCACAGTGACGGCCGCTGTGATTCTGTGCAGTGGGATTATTTCTACAGCAGATGTACAAATTTGTCCCCTCTGAGGCCGGGGATGCTGCCGAGAGGCTCCTGGATGAGCGCTCTCAGAGGGCAGACAGAATTTGAGGGGGAGCGGTGGTTTTTTTAGCAGAAATGTCATGCACTTTTTTAAATTTTTCTTTTCTTTAACTTGAACAGAAGTTGGCGTCTTGGCAAAGCAG